CATTCTGGGGCCTCCCTGGTGGCACAGTGGGTTGGTATGCAGCATTGCAAGCTGGCCGCAGCCATTTCAGTGCAAGTCCCTGCCCGGGAGGTGATCCGCATGGCTCCGCAGACCTCCCCTGACCCGCCCACTGCTCCCTTCAGCAATATGCTTCATGGATCTGCCTGTTCTGCTCCCCACTCTGTCTCTGGTGAATCCTCTCACTGCCCCTGCGCCTCTGGCCTGTACCCCAGTTCTGTATGCATAAAAAAATCTTAAAAAAAAAAACTCAATCAGAACAATCCTACCAAATGACCATATTTATAAAAAAAATACAAAATAATCAGGCTCTCCTAGGGTCACAGAAGGTTCTCAACCCCTCCCCTGTTCTGCTGACCCTGAAGGCACAGTACCCAGCCCCTGTTGTGGCTGACAAGCAGTAGCAGCCTCGGACTCATGGCCTTTCAGTAAATGCAGAGAACAAATAATTATGGAAAGTTACCTAAAGAGCATTCATTCCATGAAATCTATTCCCAAATTATGGCAGGCTGTCAGAGAGGCGGCCTTCAGAACCACAGAGTTTTGTTCTCATTGTTGAACTATTTTATTGTGCTTTTTTTTTTCTTCTTTGTTTTTGGTAATAGTATGAGTTTACATTGAACATCTCATATGAACCAGACAAGGGAAATTCATATATTATACACATTTATAGAAACTAGCTTAACTATTGCAGGAAGTGTAGTTACAAATTAATGTGAATAAATGACCAACTCAATAAATATAACCTGAGACATCACTGACCCTCCAGCTGTGTTCTATAACAATAGCAATATAAACATGGAGAAGGATTTAATTCTTTGAAACACCTATTATATTCTAGACTTTCCAAAAAGTGCTTTACTATTACTGTTCCATTTGGTTTTTTTCTTCACCCCCTCCTCTTACTACCAATTTACAGATAAGAATTTTTTTGGCAAGGAGGTAAGTAATTGTATAATCATCACACTGGCATTCAAAGTCAGATGTATCTAACTCCAGATGAATTACAGAATTGTGCCAAAGCAAATCAAGTTCCTCGCCTTAGTCAGAAATTTTGTAGTCTTTCCTGGCCATTCCCTCTGAAGGCAGAGGGATTCAGACTCAGGAATGTCAGATTCTAATCACTGTATGTTTTCAGGACACCATGTTGTCACGTTACCCAGGAAATTATTATTCCTCCTGTTTCTCAGCAGTACTACACATGCAAACGAGAGTAGAGGCCAATCTACTTCCCTCTTCCTAGCGAGACTTTGAGCATTCTCTTGTCATACAATGTGCTCATGCTGCCACCTGCTGGCAGCCTCGAATACCTGCCCTTTGTAAATGTAAACTCTTCTATCTTGGTGTAGGAGAAGCCAAGGAGTAGCTTAAAAAAGGGGGGGGTGGAGGATGTGGGGATGCGGAGGGAGCCCAATGCAGACATGTAATTAGCAAGCCTTCCCCAACGTTTGTAAGGCTGTACGGGGTGACTAAGTCACACCTTCCCTGGAGACAAATCTCTTCTCTATTTGACGGTGTTCTCAGTTTTCATCAGATTTCATCTTTCTTTAGGTATTGAAAGAAAGCTGAGATGGTTATCCAGATCATCTTAATTTGAACTGCGGTCTCTGGCTAAATCAGGGCATTCCATGGCCCCAGCACATAACACCAACCACCAACCACACTGACCAGCCAGCCAGCCAGAAGGAAGAGTGAGGAGGAAGCCAAGTGGCTGTCAAAGCCCACCACAGAGGGTGGGGCCTGGGTAATCAGGTCACTGCAAATCCTGGTCTTTACTCTGGGCAGTGAGGACCACCCCGGAAATCCAATCCCTTTGTCGAGGACATCCAGCCAGACAGCCAGCCAGCCAGCCAGCCATCACACACACACATACACACACAATATACTGACTTGTCATCTGGGGCAGATTGTTAGGTTTTTGCTTTTCTTTGTCTCCCTCTTCTTTGACAACATGGGGAAAAACCCTTCCCGGAGGTGGGGAGCTTATTTCTGACTGTTGGGGAAAAAGAAAGCAGGAATTGTTGTCACGACAATTAGGAGCTCATCAAAGCCTCATTTTGCTCATCAGCCATCACTGCCCTCCGTCCTGCACCCCCGCATGTCCCTTTAATTCAATGCCCGCCTAATGAATAACTCCTAGGAACAAAAGGCCCTTTCAGACTGGCTCACATAATTATTAGAGGAGACTTGCATAACTGTCGCAGACTACTCATGCTTTCAGGCCTGTCTCTAAATTTGGTTATTCACAACCTTTATAGCTCAATATTATTGCCTAACTGTGATCATTTTCTAATTATCTTAATAATACCTATTAAATAATTCCCATTAAATCACTTGAACCAGAGCAGCTCAGGCCAGCTCAAATACAACTTAACCTAATAAGCATTGGTCATTCATTAAGCACCAGGGCAATCTCTTAAAGGGGCTCAATAGGATATTCAGCCACATAGGAATATTATTATTGCACAAATGTTATTACAAGTTAGAGTGTATTAATTCTGATGCCTGGTTTGCAGAGCTTCCACTTGGTTTCCATTGGGGCCAATCGCCGTGACTTGACTCTCTTCCGCGCTAGCCCCTTGTTGACATGCATCTGTCACTTACACAAGGATAGTCAAGGAGGAAAAGGCCCATAAGCCTCACAGGGGAATTAAATTACCACGGACATAAAGGGGATGAATGGGATTCATCTTCAGCTGGGTTAGTACACCTATGCAAACAGCACAAGCTGGCTGGGTTTCTTTAGCTAACTCAAAATAGCCTTTCTTTACATTTCAGGGTGAGGATGATTTTTAGAAGCTTTCAAAATTTGATTTCTATCATTTAATTAGGGTTAATTCATTAAAAGTGTGTGTGTGGAGAGTTAATAATATTTTGTAAAATAATATCAGGTGGCGTTTATTGAATGCTCACAATGTGGTAAGTGCTCTGGAAAACACCGCCTGCCATTACCCTTAATTCTCAAAATGACCAGCCCACATTACCAGAGTATGCACAGTGCTCCCCTAAACTCTGGCACTGTGGGTGCTATTTGCACCTTCTTTATAGAAAGAACTGAGGTGAAGTCATTTTTCCAGAAGCACAGCCGAAAAGCCATGGGCTAGAACTGGAACACAGGGTTCTTTGACGCCCATAACTCTACCCACCACACCACACTGCCTCCTCAGCCAACCGAAACATGCCCTCATTTTGCTGGTTCTCCCATTTCATTTCTCAGGCTCTCAGTGAAATCAGCAGATTCCTAAAGATAAGCACAAGCCTTCCTGCCTGGGAAGATGACCACACATCAAACAAGGGCAGTTCACTGGGCTGCAAATCCCAACAGCAGCTGCAAAGGCAGGTGTCCATGCTCACTTCCGGGAGCAAGGAGAAGTTAGCATTTCTATAAGTAGGCTACTTCTGAGCATTTGGGTTATCTTTGAAAGGAAATATGCGGCATTTTAGTAAGAAAAGGGACACATCAATCAGGTATTCCTTGCCAGGCACTGTGCTAGGATTTGCACTTAAATTATTTCTCATCATACATCCAAGAAGCAGATATGACACTCCCACTTTATAGACCAGGACACTGAGGCACAGAGGGACAAAGTCCAGGACATTGAGGCACAGAGGGACAAAGTCAGACTCCAGTGTTGTCCCAGGGACATGCTTACCAGGAGCCCCTCATTTGGAGGATAGAGGCAGGCTTGGGAACGGCCCTCACAATTTTACATGCTTGACTGTAGGAGTGACAGCCTCCCTAAGTCTGGGTCTGTCCTGCTGGCTGCATCACTCTTGAATAACAGAAATTTATCGAGACTTGAAATCCTGAACTTTAAATGTGTTGTTTAATAAATAATGTGGCGGCTATATCCTCACACACAGATACGTGTGTTCAGAGTTTTGCTTTTCATCCTTTGTATCCAAAATACAGAAGGCTACATATGTCATATTAGAAAGCCAGAGAGTCAATTATCCCCAATCCCAAACTCTAAGGAGCTCTCCAATTCCCTGGCCACACCACTGATGGAAAGTCTCCAGATGCTGGTTTCTTTAGTCATCTTTCACCCAAGAACCCTCTTTGACTCCTCATTTGTCAAGGTATTTCACATTTTTTATATTTGACCTTTGCGAGTGCTGTTCCTTCTGCCTGAACAACCTCATACCGCTTCACTCCTTTAAGAACCTCCGGTTCTTATTTTAGTCACTTACTCTGTCCCGGTGACGTGATAAGACTCACCACACCTCCTCCCAGACCAGTTAGGAAGCTCCTGATTCTCTTCCCATTCCAGCCAGTGCTTCTCCCATACCAGCACTCATCTCCCTGGATTACAGCTGATTCATTTACATGTCAGTGTCCCTCAATGGACCACAACCTTCTCAAAGGCTGTGTTCTCTTAATGCTATACACACATCCAGTACCTGGTAGGCTTTCACCAGATGAATCCTGTTTGGAACTAAGAAGCTAAAGCTACTGGAAGAATAGTACCATTTATTTTGTTGTCCTGTGCCAGGCAATGTGTTAAAATTAAGCTTCATATATCATTTCTTCTTTGGTCTTAAGAGCAGTTCTATAAGATACGAAACCACTATTACCCTTGTTTAAGAAGAGAACATGCAAGGCCCTAGGTCACATAACAAGTAAAGGAAAAACCAATATTTCGGCTCTGAATCGTTACATCATTGCCTTGAATGCCCAAATATTTCATATGAATTCATCCTAATTCTTGACTTTCAAAGCACACCCACCAGTAGAAGAAAGCTGGAGCTGGACAAACCAGAAATTCAGCTACAAGGCCCTGAGCTGGCCAGCACTCCTCAGAACTTCAAGTGAATTCTGAAAGTGTGAGGCTGCTGTGGGTGTATCCCACAGATCCGTGCTCCCAGAGCCGCAGCAGGCGACCAGGTGTCCCTGTTTCTCAATGACAGTTTGACCAACCAGCCCTATTTTCAGAGCACAGACTGAGGCCCAGCCCCCTGCATCATCTCTGCAGGATGTTTACCTGCTTCTCCTCTCAGCGCCTTCTCCAGCCTCACGCCCTGGACCTCGGAAGCCCTCTGCCGCTCCTCCACCTCCTCCAGTTGTCTCTGGATGGCCTGCAACACCAGGATGGCATGTCACCTGGGGACTCTCAACACAAAGTCATGTGTGGGGCTGACTGTGCCACTTCCTTTCCAGGAGGAAGAAGCCCTCGTGATGTTACACCTCTTGGCTGACAGGGTGAGGACCTCCGCATTCCCAAACTACTAGACCTCAGTATTTCCCTTCTAGAATATGAAAACCTTAGGCAAGGACTCTGTAGGGGAGCTCAGTCTGCCCCCAAGTAGACCTCAGCGCAGGCCCCTTTGCTCTCAGCACAGGCTGTGGGCAAGGTGGGCAGTGCACCCCTGGGCTTCCCAGAGCCCAGCCGCTGACTGTGGTTGTGGCCCACAGACTGGAACTGCAGCCACTTCTCAGAGGACGGAACTCCTGACCAACACTGAGCAGGCTCACGTCCACTTCCCCAGGAAAAGCCAGCAGACACCTCCCATGAGTTGAGTTGATTTCACATAAGAGCATGGGCCAGTTCTGGGGCTGGGTGTTCCTTTCTTGGGGTGTGCTGCTCTGCACCTCAGCAACAAACGGTACTTGTTCTTTCATCAGGCCATGAACTGAACACCCACAGGCATTTGCTGCGAGTAGGTTATTAAGACAAGACATGGATGGCTTAATTCATTTAGGGACAACTTCACACCTTCCGAGACTCCCCAGAGTCACCTATTAAGGCCATGGTTAGGAGCGGATTGCATTTACACATCATCCTACTAGCAACTTCTGTCTTGTGTATATTAGAAGAAAAAGCAGGGGAAAGCCTCTCCTAAATACAGTTTTCTCACCCCCACCAATTTTCTCTGCTTTCAAATACCCTGCTACGGAAAGGTATCTCTCCTGGCAGAAGAGACTTTGCATCTGGCCTACCAGGTCTATTTTAGACGCCACTTGGGCAGGCAGAATGTGTGTGTTTCTTCCTTTTCTTTACTCCAGCACTGTCTCACTCTTTTCCTCCTTAACTCAGTCTCTTTCTAAGTCTCTCCTAGATAGGGGGTTATGGTCAAAGCACCTCCAGTTCTCTGAGTAGGCTTGAGTAGGCTCTGGGCCTGGGCTGTCACCTGGCTGGCTGCTCTTGTCCCAGCTAACAATTTGTAAGCCTCAAACATAAAATCTGAAAAATATGGGAATTCTGTTTAAACTGACTTTTAATTTCATGCCCTCTTTTTCTGTCTCTCTTTTAAAGATAATTTTATCTTTATAAGTCCATTTCTTGTTGGCATGGTACAGAATTGCTGAGGATGGAAACAGTGATTATACTACCAATCACTGTGCACTTCAGGCTAGTGGTCATTATGGGCTGAAGTGTACACCCACCCCCCTCCTATGTTGAAGCCCGATGCCCCAATGTGACCATATTTAGATAGGGCCTTTAAGGTAGCAATTAAGGTTCAGTGAAGTCCCAATCCCATGAGACTGATGTCCTTATAGGAAGACACCAGAGCCATGTATGCTCTGGGTACACAGCAAGAAAGCAACTGTTTATATAAGCTAGAAGATGAGGCCACACTAGAAACCTACCTAGAAGGGCCCCTTGATGCTATACTTCTAGCCTCCAGAACAGTGCAAAAGCACCTCTCTGTCTAGGCCATGTAGCCTGTGGTATGTTACTCTGGCAGCTTGCTCTGACTAATACAGCTGTTGTTCCTTAGAAACTAAGGGTGCAAAGTTCAAACATAGAAATGGCTGCCATGGGGCTAGCAGATGAGGACTCAAAAAGCCATTGCCATCCCTCTGTAATCAGCACCCACCATGGAGTGAAAATAAAGAAGGGGAAATTGCTAAGTTAGCCAAACAACTAACAGATTGTGCAGACTTATCTTGCTTTGGAAGAAAAAGTTAAAACGTGCTAAGGAAACCTGTTTCAGAGGTTAAAAGCGGACAAAAGGAAGTTTTGGGAGTGTTCCCTGTCCACTAGGTGAATGGGGGTGGCTCTTCAGTCAGCCACTGTGATGGGTGAGGCAGGCATAGGCTGGAAGGAAGTCTTGCTGTGTCTGCACCTGGTCGAACTTTAGTGTGTACACAGACAGAGATGGCTCTTCCTTCTCTTTTCTCTTCTTTCAAGGAAATCAGTCTTATGGATTAATTTCTATCCCATGCCCAACATACATGGACAGATGAAGGGGACAAGTGGAGAAGGGGAAGGAATTGCACACTGGCAGAATATGAACAGTCGCTCTAAGGTCTTCAGTCCTAAAGCCCAACTACTCTTGGAGGTTGGGTTGTGGCCAGCAGGACAGGGAAAATGCCTTGCCTTTCTGCAGCATTTTGCCTGTCTCTGGTGAAGGTGGGCAGATCAACATGGATCAAAATCTCCCAACAATGAGCCAGGTAACCTGTATCAGAATACTGGACACTTACATTCTCAACTCATCTTGGAAAAAGACTGCTGCTAGTAGTTGTTGGTTTAGCAAGACACTAAAGGAATTTGGGGGCAGGTTGTGTTTTCATAGAGAACAAAATTAGGACCCCTGCTCTGTGGCCGCCTGGGGCCTGGTACCCAAGGCCAGGCAGTGGCTGTTATTCCAGGTGTGTTGCAGGATGCATCTCTGGAGGGCCAGGAGGCTGGGAGTGGACCAGCTCCAGGTTCTGGCACCCCACCAGGGTTAAGTAGGGTTAAGCCAATAGGCACATTCTGGTTAGCCAGAGAGGAGAGACTGACCTTCCTTCAGCCCACCTCCATGCAGACAATCCAACACCATACATGCTTCCAAAGAGATTTGAGATTCCCAGGGCCCCAACCCACTCACTCCTCCCTTGTTTTCTGACCTGAGCTTTATGAAGTCTTTTCAATTCTTCTTGTTTAACCAGTTGTTTTGTTTCCTTTTCCAGTTTCCTCCTCCTTCTAAGTGTCTTACTGTCCTACAAAAATCAATGGAAAAGAAAAAATAGGTCTGAGGAAAATGCAGTTGAGAGTTTCAAAATAGTGTCATGGACTTCTGCCCTCTCCACCCAATGATTTCCAGTCACTGCTGAGCTTCTAGAACCATGATACCCAATAGAAGCTCTGTTCTGGTGGAAGGGTTCTGTATCTGTATTGTTTCAAATGTGGACACCACTAAGCACATGGCCACTTTCAATAAGGCTAGTATGAATAAGAAACGGAATTAAATTTTTTATTTTAATGAATTTACGCAGTCAATTGTGGTCAGTAGGTACCAGATTGGGAACCTGTGTGAAGGGAGTATATATATGGGTGTGTAGGTGGGAGTGACTTTAGATAGCATTGGTTTGGTTTAGTAAAAGGAGAAATAATAGAAGGATTAGAATCTAGGGATTGGAAAGGGTGGCATTTAAAAGAAGAAAGAATTACACTTTATGTAAAGTAGAAGCATGAGGTCATGGGATGATGGAGCTGGGAGAAATGCACATGATAACAATTTACAAGTAAAGCACTTAACAAGGTTAAATTGTCTTTAGGAGAGACAGCATTGCCTAATCAAACTTGGGGATAGAGGAAGGCATCTAAGTAATCCAAGTGAAAGTGTTTGTTGGCTTGAGGCAGGCACAGACCAGCTTCCCTCCCCAGTTTCCATTTGTACATGAGGAACACACCATCAGTCACCAGGGTCTGTGTGTGCTCTGGCTTATCAAACACAGAGCATTCAAATGGAGGAGTCAATGGATGGCTGCATCCTGGTAGTGTCCTTTCCAAGTTTTAGACACCAGAAACAGTTGGTGATCCCTGGTAGTTAAAATTCAGACATTATCTGACTTGATCTGTGTGGCAAGTCTACCCATTTGTTTGACAAATACCTTTGAGTTTCCACTGTACTAATATATATCACACAACCCAAGCATTTATGAAGTGCCTGTGGGAAGCACTGTAGAGATTTAGTCACAGGCATCATCCCCTTTGTTTTTCAAATTACACTTATTTTACAGATAAGAAAAACCAAGTCTCAGAGAAGTTAAACAGCTAGTCCATGACACAATTAGTAATTGACAGAACCAGGAATTAAGCCCAGGTGTCTTGGGTCCAAGAAAATTCCCTTTTTCTCCAGCCCATACCATATTTCCTTGTGCGATCCCTGCTTTAGAAAAAAAGTTTAAGTTTCCCCCTAAATTCAGACCACTTGACACCAGATCAACGATGGCCCCATCCCCTGCATCTTGCTGGCTAGTACTTGCTAGCAAAGCTGCCAGGCTCCAACTGGTTTACCAAGAGCCAGCAAAACAGGATCAAGAAAAGAAAAGTCATTTACTGCTTTTATTAAAAGATGTTGACCTGGGAAAGAAGGTTGCTTTATAGACAAAAGCTCCGGCAGCCTGACCAAGCACAGGCATAGTTCTTACAGCCTCCCTGGGGATGAGGACTCAGAGAGCTAAGGAGAGAGGCTCAAGGCTCAGGACGGAGTGAAAGGACAGAGAAAGGGCGAGATCTGCAGGATGCAGACAATCCACCCACCCAACCCCAGAAGCAGCATTCTTTGGGGGACAGGTGGCTACAGGAAGGGCAAAGCAGGGAGGAGCGTGCTCAGCTTGTCTCTGGTCTCCTGCACTCGCTTGGGCTGACCAGGCCTAGTGTGATATGGCTAAGGACATGCCTGTAAGGGCCAGAAGAGATTTAAAAGACAACCAAGGAAAGCAGATGGGAAAAAATTCCCCTCATTCCTCTATCATGAGGCCTTGGAAAGTCCTAAAGAAGTAACCCCATGGCCAGCTTCCCTCCATGACAGCAAACCATGTCAAAGCTAGGAGAGGTGGACAGCTTCTCCGCTGCAAGCTTTAGTGATGGCGGCCTCTGTTCTGGGCCAGAAGCGGGCAAGGGGCAGTCTGCCAGGCTTGCTCTACAGCACTGTCTGGCTATGTCCATGCAGCACTCCACTCCTTCCCCACAAGTGGGGAGGCTGATGCTGGGGCCTCTGCCTCATCTGAATACAAAATCAACTCAGGTTCACTAAAGGGGATGAGAGGGATAATAAGGAACACCCAGAAATCAACAAAAACAATTCCTTTATATCGAGTACCCGACTATCCACAGACACCCACAGTTAGAAATTAGAAATCCATATGTATTATTCTCTTCTCATTCTCATTCTTTCCTCTTCCTCCTCCTTCTCCCACCACACCCCCCTCCCCCACTGTCATGCCATGTGCCAGCCCCCTCCTGACTTGTTCCAAGCCGGGCCTTGGGGAGCTGGAACCCCTGAGTGACTTGAGAAGATGCCAAAGCTCCTAATGCCAGATATGGAAAAGTTGAGTCTAAGTAAATAAACTTGGTTCTCTCCCTTTCTCCTTGGATCCTCGCTGGTCCAAAAAATAAACACTGCCAGAGCAGTGAGCTGCTTCTCTCTCCACGGGGAGGCATTTGAGGTCCAGCCCTTCAGTTCCCCAGCCCTAGTGAAAATGCCCCCAGCCCCGATGGATAAAGAAACAAAAAATGAGATCTGGTGGGAAAATGCAGGTCTCTGTGTATGTGACAGATACACTTAAAGACAACAATGTGTGCATTTCTTATTCTATGAGCACAGGAATGATTGGAAGTATTCTCCAGGAATATCAGTGTTTGTAAAGCAAAGAGGACTGCCATCTCCCAGCCAGCACACAGCTAGTCCCTTCCACGGTAGGGATGCTCGCATCTAGATGCAAATGCATGGTTCATTTCATATTTCTGATTAGAATAAACATAACATTTTCCATGCACTCTGCCTCTAGTGCTTCTTAAATGAAGCTGCGCTTCCTCCCGGGAAATATGCGTCTGCTTGTTGTGATTTTTTCAATGGTTTGCTTGTTGGACCACATATTAAATCCACTTTAGGAACGGCAGTCACCAAATGGTTTCAAGTAAATGTGCCTGTTGTTTTTTGGGTTGTTTTTTTTTCTCCCCAATCTGAGTCTATGAGCAAGGCAAGCTTCTAAAAGAACAAAAATAAAACAATTATTGGGGTGTTGCAGGTAAAAAAAAAAAAGCAGTTGCTGTCAGATGCAATGAAACGTGATCCTCCTAATGAAACCACCACAGCTGGAGCCCACATTGGGTCTGAAATCTGGATGGTAAACGGCCCCCACAAGCCAAGGCCCTTTTTGGTTTGCCAAGTGTTGTTACCTTTGACCGCAAGCTAGGCTGAGGGTCCAATTCTTCATCTGCAGAAGAGGAGGAGGTTGAAGAGTCAGTCCCTCTCACCTGCATTCTGACGGGGATGTGCCAGGGATCTGAAATGGGAATGGAAAACTCAATGAATTCTTAGCTTCTTTTCTTGCTTCATCCCTATCGCTGCCTTTCCCTCCTCCCCGCTTACCCAATTCCCTTCTCCCCTGCTGGCTCCTCGCTGCACCTGCCATGAGCATGAGGAGGCAGTACCTAAGGGCAACTGAAAATTTGGCCTTCCATGTTAATTACATTTCTGGGTTCCTGCCAAGAGCTTTGCAGCTCTCTTTTCATATTTTTTAAAGAAAGGTATTATGCAGAAATCAATTAATTCCTTAAACACCATTTATATGGTGTGTAGCTTAGAACACATTCAGAGATGAAATCTATTATTAAAATGCATGTTTGAAGTTAGCTGAGTTACCTAAATGCTTGTGTAAGGTTCGTTCTGCAGAGTAATTGAATGCAAAAAAGTCAGAGCCAGCTCTTAAACAAATCGCCCTTCTGCGGCTCACAGCATCTGGCACCCATTTTTACTACATGACATCTGCTCAGTGTAAAAGAGCTGGCGTCAGAATGTCTGGTCATAGAAAAAAAAATCCCAAATGTAATCAGAAGCAAAAGGACTCTAAGCCTAAGGTTTTATCACATAGTCTCATGCAACATAAATATTTCATTAATTATGGCTAAACAAATGCCACTTTTATTTTCCCAACTTGCAGATATTATCACATCATCGAAGTGATGATTCAAATGCCAGGAAAGGCAGTTTAAGATAGAGAGGGCTCAACAATGCAAGGCCCACAGGAGAGCCCAACAGGAGGGACTGTGCCAGCCTCTGAACACGAGGTAGCTGGTCGGAGGCAGCAAAGTGCCCATGTTAACTAGAATCTCTGTGATCTGGCTGGGGACCATGTGTGACAAAGTCTTCCAGGTGCCACAGGAGGCTTTTATTCTTCTCAGCAAGAACATCTGCCCAGACACATCAACCTGCTGCAGGCTTAATGACTAAGACCTGGATTAACCCATTCTGGACACTGACTATCAGAACCAGCGAGGACTCTGGGGTAGGAAAGCTACTAATCTTTACTCTGCTGTGGCAGCTTATATCCAAATAGACATATGTGTTGGGTGGAGAGGAAGGAGGAGAAGAAATTCCAAGCTGGCTAACAGTCTCTCCAGTCTGCCTTTTCCTCCCCCAAATTTTCAACTATTCACCCCAGTGGGAGAGACCAGCTTAAAAAAAATAATAATAATAAGGGTAATTTTCACCTCCAGGAGTATATTTACATATGCTGCTATTCAAAGCAAAATAATGCAAAACATCTATATAATAACACAGCCTCTCTGGGGAGGGAGTTAACTGTTTTCCGCTTTAATTAGCCAGGGGAAGCTCAGGTGAAGACAGAACTAGAGAGCAGGATAATAATGGAAAGAGTCATTGTTAGCGGAGAGCTGAGATTATGTCCCAGTTGTAGTCACTAAATTACCTCTGAGTACTAAGCACATTAGTTGCTTAGTAGTCACTTAGCATGAAAGCTTGGAAAACTAACTTTATTTCCTGAATTTCTGATCCCTCGTTTATTGTGGATGCTTCAATAAATATTGCCAGCAGCTATCTCATTATTATCATTCATCCTAATGAATAATACTGCAATACAAAGTGTCCCCCATTTCCAAAGTGTAGCTTTTATATGACAACTTTTGTAAGCCAAAATGGCATATAGCTAAGAAGCAATTATTCTTAATTTATATAAAAACACTTTTGAGCATTCCCAACCCTCAAAACAACCTACCAAATCATACAAAATAATCCATAAAGCCTAAAATAACACCAACATGTAGTAAAAGCAAAACTGGTATGATAAGCACAGAGACTGTAGAAAGTAGTTTCCAGGGAAGCAATGCAGATGGGACCATCTTCTCAGGGTTCCTGTGACCTCTGTAACGGTTCACTACAATAAACACCCGTAGATGCTACTTGTGCTTTTTTGCCTTTTGTTATAAAAATAGAAATCCTCTTAGGATTCTTTTGATCAATGAAAACAGGTACTAATATAGAGATTTTGTAAAAAAAGAAGTGGCATAATTCAAACTGTCAATAGCTGTGTCTGTAAAACTGGTTTAACTTCAACTTATGGCAGAAGAAGAACCTAAAGTTGAAAATTTTCCAGTAATTCTCTAAAATCCAATATTTCCATTGAATTTCATTTTGAAATTAAGGAGAAAATATTTCTAAATGTTATGCATTTCTTAAGCTTCTGGCAAATTTACATAATGTTAAATCGTTTCCCTGAATCTCTTTCCTTTCACTCTTTCCCATCATAGAAACATTCATTCTAGGAGTTTATTTTAATTTGCAAAGTTTGGAAAAGTTGGCTGCATTGTTCCACTCTGGCTGAGAGTGACTGGTTCCGGGACTGATCTACCACAAAGCACAAGAAGTCTGGACAAAATATATGAAGCAGCTATTTGCAGACACTGGGCAACAGGCAGTACAGGACTGTGACACAGACGAGAGCAGAAGCAAATGAGTAAAGCCCTTCTGTTACAGATGCTTTCTGCCTAGAATCACCTTCCAAATCATAGTGTGGTAAGAAAGAGGACAGCAGATTCGGTGACTGAAAAAGACAAGAGTTCACAGTTTGAGAAGAGTGAAGTAGCTGGAATGTGTGGGGAGGTACTGGAGAAGAGGGAGCTAATTAGAAAAACTATAGATGAACAGAGAAGGGCATGAGGTTGGATAATAGTTGCTAGGAGGTAATAGATAATAGAAGAGTAGGAGGATAAATAAGTTTAAAAACAAGTCTTGGAAGAAACAGTAAGATGTGCACATTAATGGCCTGTCAATATTGTTTACTGCCTATGTAACATTCTCTTATGAAGACATTAAATCTAGGTACGCTATGACTTAATATTTACAAAATGTAGCAGCCAATAAACAATTACTATATATGTAAAAAAGAGGATAATGAATTCTATAATCAAGAGGAAAATCAATCAATAAAAGCAGGGTCAGAAATGACAAAAGTGATAGAATTAAGACAAGGGTTTTAAAATAGCTATTGTAAATTGCTCAATTTAAAAAAAAACATGGGGCCTTCCCTAGTAGTGCAATGAATTAATGTGCAGCACCATGAAGCTACTGCAGCCACTCCAGCACGAGTTGGATCCCCAGCCAGGGAGGTGACCCATATGGCACAGCAGACCTCTCCTGACTCCCCCACTGCTCCCTTCAGCAGTGTTTTTCAGTATATCTGCCTGTTCTGTTCCCCACTCTGTCTGTAGTGAATCTTCTCACCTCCTGCACCTCTGGCCTGTACCCCAGTTCTGTATACATAAATAAATCTTCAAAAAAAAAAAAAAGAAACAAAGAAAACATGAACAGAATAAGGATAGAAGCAAAAGATATATTTTTTAAAAAATGTAATCTACATTGATGAAAAATACAAAATTTGAAATGAAAATTTCATTGGAGAAGCTGGTCAGATTAAATACTACAGAGGAAAATATTCAGGAAAATTAAAAAATCACAATAAAACTAGACAAAATGAAACACAGAGGAATAAACATCAAAAAAAAAAAAAAAAGAATAGAACCTCAGTGACCTGTGGGAAAATATCAAGTATTCTAAAATATACGTGATTAATGCCAGAAGGAGACAGAGAGACAGAAGCATAAAAAGTTGATGCGTTATTGCTGAAAATCCTCCACACTTAGTGAAATTTTAAACCCACAGTTCCAAGAAATAAAACAAGCCACAAGTAGGATAAACACAGAGAAAATCATAACAAGGCTCAAGATAATAAAATTGCCAAAAAGAGATATAGATAAAATCTTAAAAGCAGACAAAGAAAATGTTAACTGATGAATAGAAACAAAGATATTCTCACTGACATGCTAGAAACTAAATAAGTCAAGAGATAATGGAATATTATAAAAATGCTGAAAGAGAAATAATTTGTCAATTTATAATTCCATACCTGGTGAAATGATTTATTCAAAATGAAGCAAAAGTAGAAGTATTAAAAGGAAACAGAAAAGCTATGATAATTCGTCATTTGCACAAAATTTAAAAAGTTCTATAGCAAAAGGAGTAAATGAGATAGAATGAAGTGCTAATGGTTTTTAACTATCTTAAAAGATCATTTACTGTTTAATGTAAAATACTGTGAGATAACATGGGATATATGTATTGGCCCTTGTCCCTACCTCCCATTAATATCTGATCTTTAATCATATTTCCTGATACAAACCTTCTAAAACTTTCCTGGGTGATAGGCACATCTGATCTAATGATGTGACTCTTGGTGGATTCCTAGATGAGGGCTAGTTACTGCCATGATTATAAGTTTGGAATTTTCCCACCTGGCCCTTCATCTACTAGAGAGGTGAGAGGGACTAGAAAATGTGGTGATAATCCATCATATCTACATGGCACCATCTCCATAAAAATCAAGCTTAATTGTTTCCCTGAGGTCTATACAATTCTAGCAAATTACTGAACCCAAGGAGGGAAAGAGGGAGACTCTATTTATAGTTAGTTGGTACAGGCAACAGCCTGTAAGAATAAAGGATTTAAATAAATACTACTAATACACTTGGCTTAACTGTTAAGTATATATAAAAAACAATACCCCAATAAGTAGAGAATATACATTCTTTTTTTTTTTTTTTTAGCATAGAACATTCACTTGATTGATAAGAAGATACAAGTCAAAAGGTAAGTCTGGCTCTACTGGCACCTCACAAAGACACTATCAATAAGGTGTTCTCCAAGCTGAGACTTCAGAGTAGACCAAGGTTCATCCAAGTTGACAAGAATTTCATTCCTTATGGGTGTAGGGCACAAGACCTATTTTCTTGCTGAATATCACTGAAGGTTGATATTTGCTCCTGGAAATCTCCTGTTCACAGTCTCCTTAACAATTATGACAACTTACTTCTTCAAGTTGAGCAAGAACATTTCTTTCTGAGGCTTAAAATTTGAGTTTAGCAAGGGCCCAGACATTATTAAGGGTTCACCAAATTAAGTTGGGTTGATCCAGGATAACTCTCCTTTTTT